AGTATCACAAAGAAAAGGCTCAGATAAAAGATGTGATGAAGGCAGCGAAGGTAGTATGATTATAATCTTTATGAACGGCTACTGCTGCTGAATTCATTTTATTTGAGTGGAATGCTTTTCAGGTTACCATCACTTCATCATGGACATTTGATGACCTTAAAGCTGTCATTGAAGAGGGTGCCCCTCTTGCACTTTCAGATATAAATTTTAAGGTACTACTTAAAATTGGCCAAAGTTGTCTAAAAGTTTGGAATTGTTTCGTGTGTTTTCTCTTTTAAAATTCTTTTATAAATATTAATTTACACTTTTTAATTTTTTTTTTTCAAAACTGAAACTTTTCATTCAAAAAAAAATGAAAAGAGGCTAATGCTCAAAAGATTCAAACTTTTCAAGGGGTGGATACCAAAAAGAGTAAATAAAAGAAAATACAAAGGAAAAATGATGGCTTACCAAATAAGACATAAACCAAGATAGGAAAAAACAGCGAAGTGCTTGTTTAGAGAACACCGTGATGGGACTTATGAACTTCTAGATTCAAACTGATTAAACTGATGGAGATACTTCTCGTTGAAGATTCTTTAATTCCTAGCCATGCACAAACCTTTCCATTCTGTGTTGTAGCCTTCACTTCAAACAAAATTCTTCTCGTATAAGATTCTATATCAGGCATTTGCAAGACAAGACAACCGAAAATGAGAGCTTCATTTGAAGGAAACTTCTAATTTCTGTCGTATTCCATATTGATGACCTTATTCTCAATATAATCTTAAACAAAAAAGATTGACATCACCAAAGCCACTATCTTCCGCAATATAATCTCCAACTACTTTCCTACTCGTACATTTGCATGACCACTCTAATCAAAATAACCACAATCTTCTAACATGTTGGCATCGGAATGGATCAATTTGCACACATTCAGGAAATACGGCAAACCGTTAGGTCAATCCTCAAATAAAAAATATATGAGCTAACCCGTTTATCCCTGATCCTTGTGAATTCCAAGAAATTTTCTTCATTGGAAAATAAAGAACAACAATAAAAAATTAATCTTCCTGACTTGACTCCCTGGGGAACATAAGGGGAAATCTCCCTAAGTTGCTAACCACTCGCCTTGATTAATGAGGAAATTTATCTGGTCTCAAAATATCACTTTCATCTGAAAGGAATGAGATAAAAGGAAGCTTCAAATATGTGGTTCTACTTTAAGAAATTTGCTGGAGTTGTCGAAAAATTTGGAACTGCTCTTGTTCTCTTTCAAAATTCTTTTATAAATATTAATTTGACTGTATATGCTTAATTTGTTCTGCAGCGCCAATCTGTATAATGAGTTTCTTTTTCTTAGTGTAGTTTCAATCTTTCATTTTTTTCTGAAATACAATTTGGATTTTGGCTTTGTATGTTGGGGTAATTAAGATGCTCAGAATCTGACGATAGAGATATTTATTCTGTATCTTGAGTAATTGAATAATCTTAGTTTCTGATTACTTGGTCCTCTGAAGACTATGGATATATTCGTGTTCTTTCACAATTATGTCTTTTATTATTGTTTAGGATGCAATATGTTATCCCATAAATTTCTGGTTGTTTTTTACTAAGGAAAATAGAAATTGGCCAGCCTGGAAAGCTGAAGGCCTAGCCCGTCGTCTGTGAATTGATTCTTACTCCCAATTTCCCAATGTCTACGCTTATAAATCCTCCTCTATGAAAAACTTCATTGCCTTGTCTGTATCTTTAATTTTGTATCCTTTGATTTGTTATCAACATGATACGTGTTTTGAGACATTAATAACATCCTACTATGTTGAAGCTTGTATATGAGGATTTACTAGAAAGAGCCAAAGCAAAGGAGGAGAAAGAAGCCAAAAGGCGTCAACGTTTGGCTGATGACTTCTCAAGACTGCTTCAGTTATTCAAGGTATTTTTAGAACTGTTGATGACGTGTAAGCTCATTTCAGACCGACTGTCTTCTCTAACAGCTAGTTGACCTTCAATGGTTGTATTAATACAGGAGATTTCAGCTTCTTCCAACTGGGAGGATAGCAAACAGCTTTTTGAAGAGAGTGAAGACTACAGGTAGTTTATGAAGATGTCGATTATTTATCATAAACGAGTTTTGGGTATTCAATTCTCTGCTTTATTTGACTTTTTTTCTTCTACTGTCACTTAGATTAATTGGGGAAGAGACCTTCGCGAAGGAAGTTTTTGAGGAATACGTAGTGCATTTACAAGAAAAGGCAAAAGAAAAGGAACGCAAGGGTGAGGAGGAGAAGGTGTGTGGCAAATTGCTTTTATGCTTGATTAGTTTGATGATTCTACTTTTCAGTCGTTGGGTGAAGAATTATAAGTGGAACGATATTTTAGGCTTTAAGCAACCAACTGATCTGAAAAACTGAATAAACATAGCCCAAACGACCATTGGTTGGTTTAAGTTCAAATGAAGTGAATTTGTTTGAATTGGTTTAATTTTTGGTTTACATATGCATACATGTCTTTTCCACAATGTTTTTGGTTTATGTACATATAATTTAGGTTTTATTTTTTTCTTAACGAGAAACCAAGTTTTCATAAATTTTAGAAATGGGGATCATTGTTTTTCTTTCTAATGCTATTCGAAATTTCTAACAAAAAAGTATTTTTTTTATTATTATTATTTTGAAGCCAATCCCTCGGTAGTTCAGATCTTCTGTTGAAATAGATGATTCCTCGATAACTTTGACCGAAGTGTAATAAGATACTGTTCGGAATTTTTTTCTCATTCTCAGAAGAGAACTTCTATTTTGCACAGGCTAAAAAGGAAAAAGAATGCGAGGAAAAGGAGAAAGAGCGAAAGGAGAAGGAAAGAGAACGTGAAAAAGAAAAGGGGCGTGTTAAGAAGGATGAAACTGATAGCGAAAATATAGATGCAAACGAAACTCGTGTCTACAGAGAAAAGAAAAGGGAAAAAAACAAAGACAGGAAACGTCGGAAGCGGCATCATAGTGCCACTGATGATGGTGGTTCTAATAAAGATGAGAGAGAGGAGTCTAAGAAGTCTTGCAAACGTGGCAGTGACCGAAAAAAGTCAAGGAAGGCACGTGAATATCCTTGTAGATGCTTGTGACACTGTTTTGTATAACGTTATTAGAAATTAAATCTCTTTGTATGTTTCTTGGCAGCACGCATATTCACCAGAATCAGACAGTGAGAGTAGGCACAGAAGACACAAGAGAGAACATCGAGATGGTTCATGTAGAAATGACGGACATGATGAACTTGAAGAGGGGGAGCTTGGAGAGGATGGGGAAATTCAATAGCCGTCGTTAGCTTTCGATTTCAGGATTTGGTTTCTACGGTTTGCAAGGGCAGAGCGATCAATGTGATTTTAATTGGCCAGGGATGGCAACTGCTGGAAAGAATTCTTTTGAAGAGAGATGAAGGGTGACCCAGTTATCATTCTTCCATTGTCTGTTAGTGGATACATCTGTAGTGTCCTACAGGAGTTAGTGGCGTATATAAACCAGCCATTTTTATTACTTGTGACCTGGTTTTGTAAGTCGCTACTTCCCTCGTCTACTGTAATTCTGTCGAGAATAATAAATCCACAGGCTGCTTATTTGCGGTTCTCTCAACTGATTTGAAGTTCGATTATTGAGATTATCTTAAAGCTGATTTTACAGCATTAATCGTAACTAGAATGAAAACGTTATGAAGTATTATAAATTGTGGCATCATTCATTAAAATTTACTGTTCACAACCATATCATGGGCGTTAAAACATGTGAGTAATCAGTTCGTTTTTCCATTTTCAAGTTTCAACATATTTGTCCATAATTTTTAACCTTTTGTACCTGTCTGGTCTTTCTGAAAGCGAAAGGTGAAAGACTCATGAATGGCTTGATCGATAACTGAACCTGAAATGGGCAGTGGAAGGAATCACTTTATGCCGACAATCCTTGAGTAGACATCTCAGGTCGTGTATGTCTTCTATTTGATATGTTTTAATATCTGAGTTGGTGGTTCTGTTGTATTTAAGGGAGACTTTCATGAAAATCACTTGGTTTATGAAATGATACGAGCGATCCAAATTCATTTAAGATTGGTGATTGATATCTGCTTTCATACTACAGTGTACATTCCACTGAGGCAGGGTCCAGATGTTTGAGTGAAGCTTCTAGGATATGAATATACGGTTTATACTTAACAATGTGCATTTTTCTGCAAATACTTGTATTGGAATCTTAGTATAATTGAAGCCAGAAGAATGTTGATCACTGCTTATCAATTAGTTCAGTAACAACCTCATTAATAATCTCCTCTAGAATGAGTGCTCCAATCTCTGCTCCTATAAGCTGCTTCTGCGGCTTCAAATCCCACCATTCTGCTGCTGAGAGCAAGTAATCTGAGTTCAGTGAATTTGATAAGTTTGCTTTTTTCCCAGTGGTTTCCTTCTCATGGATGAGCCTCCTAGCTTCTTCAGAATCTATGTGCCTGCCATGCTTGGAATGGGCCTCCACCACCTCCCCCACACAGTAAAAAAGAAGCTGCTTTGTTTGATGAATTACCCTTTTGAATATCAGGAGCTGAGATGTAGTGTTGGATGTTACAAGTTCCTGCAGTTCTGCAGTCTCAATACCACTCGGTTTCTCCATTGCTGCGGAGTAAAGAAGTAATTCCGAAAGAGTGGCCGAGAGAATGGAGTTGTCTGGAACTTTCTTCTGTAGAGGAATGCCATTCCGTAATTGATTATTGTTTAGCCTTGCTGGAATTATCAAATCAGACCCTGCTTCCCTGTTTTCATGTCCTAAACAAGTTCAGATCATTCAGCTACAGTTGCTTTTATTTTATACATTAGAGACTCTCTGTATATAAGGTGGTAACTTCATGGACATGGAAGATGAAAATGATTGTCTAATCCAGGGCTGAGTTGCTTACTTGATTTCATGCTTCTAGACACGACCTTTTTTCCTGCCGCACCCTGTTTGGTGTCGTTAGTTCATCAAGTTTACAGAAAGTTGTAAGACTATGGTATTTCACATTTTGAAGTTTAAATTGATGATAGATTATAAATGGGACATGCCGAGTCTGCTTTAAAGACTACATATGATTCAGGTATGCCTTGTAGTTCTGATAAATTATGATGAATTAAGTGTTCGGGATGATCATACCTTACGTATTTGTAAGTTGCAGGGCTCTGGAGCTTCAAAAGTGTCTGAAGTTGATGAAGTAGCATGATGTCTTCTCTTCGAAGATGATGTCTTTTTGTTATCTTTTCTAGAAAATGAACTGGACTTCTTCCGGGAGCTGCAGGGAGACCAAAAGTTCTCTGATTCTGCAACTCTCTTGCAGCCAACACTAAGAATCCATCCACTTTTTCCGAAATCCTTAGTTTGCTGCTTCCTATTGATGGAAACAAGCTTCTTACAGGTATTCCTCAGCACCTTATTTATCTCTACAAATCCCTTTCCAAACTTCATAATATTGTCAAATTTTCCACTGCTGCAAGCAAAGCCACTGCCACTGCCCCTACTAAAGCTCTTTCTCGAGTAGTCTCTCTCGAAAAGGTACTCCTCCAACTCGAAAGGCTCCTGTTGCTCTTGCAGAAGCTGTCTCAATGGTGATCTTGGTGTCATGGATGCTATGAAGAAGAAAGGTTGAAATGCAAGTAGAGAATGGAAGAACATATAATAATTACAAAGACAATTCAGTTTTAGTTGGAGGAGAGGATTATGTGGTGCAGATTAATAAATCATGGATAGATCAGAAAAAGCCTACCTGTCAGAATCTGATTTATCATTGCCTTGAAACAGACTGAGATACCGAAGAAGAGCGAGACACACACGCAACACAACAGTTACTAGGTAAAAATATCATTTAACTGCTAAGGATTGCTGCCACCATATAAGGTTATGCCTAGCTGTTTTTTTGTAGACATTTTGTTTTCTTATACACTTTTCTGTCAAATCATCGCTTGTCTTTACCTGTGGCCTTCGTCAATCCTTACCCCTTTCATTGTACGTGAAAACAAAGATATACGGAGGATCTCATTACAACAATGCAGGTGCCTTAGCTCCATTTGGTCAATGATTAACTGACCATTTGAACTGATATAAAGAAAAAGAACAGAAAAAAAAAGGTACAGTAGTTTTGGTTGTCGTCAGAAAGGCTACAGAGAGCCTATTTATGGTGTTTGAAAGGCAGTGGTCCAGAGGCAATTGGTTTAGTGTAAGTGTATCTCTGAAGCCTGTTTCTTCTTGAATCTGAGATTTCTGGTTGAGATTTTATTAGTTTCTATCATGTTCATTTTGTTTGCCTACATTTATTTTCCTTCATGCATGAATCTGAGATTTCTTTCAGGCCAAGGCGTTGCTTTCAGAAGTAAGCTCTTGGGGTTATGGAAGAGATGTCAAAGTTTCAATCTTACCCTGAATTTTGTTACGATGATGTGAGATCTCACATCGGTTGGAGAGGAGAATGAAGCATTCCTTATAAGGGTATGGAAACTTCTTAATAGACGCGTTTTAAAACTGTGAGGCTGACGATGATACGTAACAGGCCAAAACGACTAGTGGTTGGCTTGGATTGTTACAAATGGTATTAGAGCCAGACACCGAGCGGTGTGTCAGCAAGGACGTTGAGTCCCCAAGGGGGTAGATTATGAGATCTCACATTAGTTGGAGAGGAGAACGAAAATATTCCATATAATGGTGTAGAAACCTCTTTCTAACATATACGTTTTAATATCTTTGAGCTCCGTCTCATTAACATGGAAATTTATTGATATTCCCAGTTGGCCACCAATGGCCACAAGAAAACTGTTCTTTTCTTGTATCATTTTTGAAGTTTAATTCAGAGTTCCATAGTTAAAGTGGAAAGTGATTGGAGTTTGTTTTTTATCATGGCCTCCCCTTCTGGCCCCGACCCCATCTTGGATTTCTGTGACTCTAATAAGATCCTATATTCTGATACATTATTTTCCTACGGATACAACAAAATTATGTTTATGTTTGCTTCCCTTTGAACTTGTTACTCTATTTTTTATTTCAGAAAATAACAAAAATTATTTATTTTGCTTGGACTTTGTATTATTTTTTATGATTGAGAGATGAATATCTCATCCTCACTATTAGCGTGTAATTTGAGATACTTTTGGGCTTAACATTTTTTTACAATTCTCTCTTCTTAGTAATATGATAATAGGCTACGAGACCGAGTGGAATGTGATAGTTATGAGAGTGGAATGTGATAGTTATGAGAGTGGAATGTGATAGTTATGATTGTTTAGGGTATATTGTCTGTGACCGCATATGCCCTTCTCATACAAAATCCTTTTATTTTGATTTTATGTTTATTATTTTATAATTAACATTAATATCTCTTGTCAACATGTTTTCAATACAATTGCATTTAAGGGGCCTCTTCCAAAAAATTTCAACTAATTCTCTTGCCCACTTTTTATAAAAACATTTTATTTCAAAACTTAGCTTGAGTCTCAACCTACAATCGAACTTTGATTTTTACACAGAGACTTGTTTGTTCGGTTAAAACAAGTGTCACACAATAATCGCTCTTTTATTGCCAAAAGAGTGTGATTGAAGCACATGGTTCAACCTCTTTCATTTGGCATAATTGATTATAAATATAAAAAAATATTATATTATTTTAGTATAAACATAGTTCAATTAATTTAGATATATTGTTCTATATGGAAACAGAAACCCGGGGAAGTTCGGACAGCCGAGCTCGAAGCGCCACAAATTCCGACCACAATCTCTCATTTTGTCTTCGCACCATGGAACTACGCTTCGACACCAAATTCAACTGCCTTTTCAGCTCTTCATTCTTCACTTTCAGCCGGTCGGCTTCAACCGTCAGGCTCTCAAAATATCTCATCTTTCGCAACCTGGGCCGCGTCGCTGGTTCTCGGTTTGACATCATTCGATTCCTTCTCCTCCCACCGTCGATCGAAGAGACGGCTTGGCACGAGCCTTGTGACCCTGAGATCGACCCGCCCGGATCTTCAAACTGCGACCAAACCTCCTGGCTTTCGGCCGGCGATAACCCAGATTCATAAACGGGCCTATGAAACCGGACCGCTTCTTCTCCAGAATAGAACTTTGGGAAAGAGAATGAGAGAGAAAATGAGAACGTGAAGGAAGAAAGAGGAGGAGACGGGTATATAAAGAGGAGCGAGAGGGCGTTAAGGATGGTTAGGAAGGAGTCAGATGTTAGCTCGTTTAGAGAATAATTATAGATTTATAAATACATTTTTAAGAGGCTATTTCAAAGTAAAGTCACTAAGAATAATATCGTACTATTGTGGAGATCTAATCGTTTGTTCATCCCTTTTGTCCGGTGGAAGAAAAAGGGATACCTTAACCACGAAGAATCAGACAAAACGACAGATTAGACAAAAACTTTATAAAAAATGGAAAGTTCTTTTTTCTTTTTCTTTCTTTTCGAACAAGTTAAGAATCAGTTATGGGCTTATTGTCATGGGCTTCGGTGTTAACAACCCTTTGACCCAAGAGTTATGGGCTTATTAACATTAAAATATATTTTTTAAATATTGATATTATCAAATAATTGTTTTTTATAATTTTGATTTTGTCGTAACTTTAATTATATATTTCTTATTTCACCAAACCAATCAATTTCATGTTGAAAAGACCCCAAAAATTTAAAAAGAAAATGGAAAAAAGTAAGGATAAAGGAAGAAAAATAACGTTCAATAAATAAACCAATGAAATGTGGGATAAATTTTAAATTAAAAGAATTAAAAATTTCAAATTTTCATTTATTATTTATTATTTCGCTTTTTGCTTTGGATTCCCCGCTGGTCCATTTGGGAAAAAAAAAAAGGAAAAGTCGTAACTTTAATTAATTAATGCACAACATTATCATTCCCATTTTTACAATATTATTGAAATTCATGGCCCCATATCCTCCACACTTTTTTCTTAATAAATATCTTTTAATTTTTTGAAAATTTGAAATAATTTATATATTTTTTTCATGGATTCTTATCATCTTGTTTAATTATATGGGAAATTTCATCCTCTAAATAAAAAAATAATAATCATCCTGAAACGAGAGTTAATACTGAGAAGATCAAAATTTGAGTTGTTATTGAAGTTATTAACTGAGATTGAGATTAAATTGCAGCTGAGATTGAGTTGCTAAGAACAGTAAACACTTGTAAATAATTTAGAAAAGCAGTACGTTTCCCAGATTCAGAAGCTTCTTCATATCACTTACCAACGAAGAAGAGTAGCCTTTTGATTTGGATTATTCAAGATAAGTAGCAGAGTTGTTCATTAAATTGCAGCTACAAGTGGCTGACACTTCTTGCCTTTCCCGGCCCTCCTCCGGCCAGCTGCATCGCCGTCCTGTCGATGGTTTACATCTTTTGGGATCAAAGGAGCGTCATTCGCCTCATCGCCGTCGTCTTCAGCTGTGGCAATACGAATACAAGAGCATCGTTCCAAGGATCCAAAGAAAGCTGTGACAAAGCCATTGATGAGCCAAGTTGCTACTCCATCAAGCTTCCCACATGCTGGAGAGGCATGGGTTGATGAAGAAGTTCTCACTCTTGACTCCATAGAATTTGATCTGATGGAGAAGAAGCTACTGCAGGTGGAAGTAATGGCAGACATGGAAATAAGCAGAAACAGAGAGAGAAAAACAGAGACAGAGACAGAGACAGAGTAATGAAAGCTCCAAACTAGCAGCTTATAAGTCCCAAGGGAGCATCTTCTACCGACCCAGTTAATAATTAAGAGTTGAATTTTGAAGCATTCCCTTGACACTGTTAAAATTAACGACAAGACAATGGAAATTAACCTCAGAACAAAGATCTTTATGAAGGAAAAATGAACAAAAGTTGGTAACAAAGCGTGCAAAGAGCCAATCATGATTCGGGGCTTGTTAATAAATCAATCAATCTACAAACAATTACAATGACATATTCAAGATTAGGGGCCAGTTGAACAAAAAACAAAAGCAAATATGAAAGCAACTTGGAAGATTATGGCATACCCCGCAATGGTCCTACCGGGCCTGCATGAGTGTATTTGCCGCCGCTCATAGCTGGCAGCTTCCCTATTATCCTTCCCTCTCACTTCAGCTTTTACTCTCTTTCTATCCAAATAGGATGGAAGAATGAATGATAATATCAGTCAAAATACCAGAAATTTCCAGCAGGTTAAATGGAGGCAGCTTCCAGGAAGAGATGGGCAAAAGAAATCATAACCCATTGACATCTCTATTACTAGAAGGCATGATTAATCAAGAGCTACATGGCATAAAAAATGTTTACAAAAATGAAGGTAAAGGAAGTGGATATTAAAGAAGAATGGGATGATGGTAATGATGATACCCAAATGTTAAAAAAGCATATCACATGGGGTAACACCCACATCCTCGCCTATATGCAGACCTACTGAGTAAATAATACTCTCTTTAACAAACAGAAGTTTCTACGGAACCCAGTCTGGAAAAGTCAGCTTAGTTGGTCATGAGAATGCCAATGTTAACTTACTGTTTACTTTCCATCCAGATAGAACTTCATTCAGCATTTGTTTAGAGTATATTGAGGAAGTTCATGGAAATAGAAAGTTCATCAACTTTCCAGCAAAGACATCCCCGCGAGACATCCAAGATGGTGTTTGCAGGCCTCACCGGATCAAGAACATGCCATTAAGATTCAGAACAAAATTACTTTGTGATATCCAAAGCAGTTCAAAATAGCCACCGGCTCTGCATAACGGTTCTGTGAGAACAAGGTTATGAGATCAGAAACAAAAAAGATCGAAAATAACAGGATGAGTAGTCCTGGAGCCAACAACAAAAATCTGTCGCATAGTAAGGAATGTTGAATAGTAATATGAGTTTGTCAAAAGGAATTTCAAGTTCTCCGTCATCTATGGCTAAACATATAGTAAATAACTAAATTCATTAGTCAGAAGGCAACTGCAAAAATAATCTAAAATTGCACAAGGTAATTAATTATAAGGCAACTCAAGGAGTGGGGTAATGAGAGAAAATCAGTCCTGCGGAGTCAATTACGTGAATCATAGAACCTTTATAATTGGCATAGAAGAAATCTATGTTTACAGCTCCAAAAGAAAAGGAAACTTGTACAAGTCGTTGAGAAATGAAAGTAAAAGTCAAATGGAACTGCCTCTATTCTAAAGCCTTCAGTAAGTATGACATGCTGAGTTGAGAAAGAGAGGTAAAGAGAGACATGAATCAATACGTGAGACGGAGAGGGAAACGAAGCATTCCTTATAAGGGTGTGGAACTCTCCCCCTAACAGACGCATTTTAAAACCGTGAGACTGACACCAATACGTAACAAGCTAAAGCAAACATAATCTGCTAGCGATGAATTTGGGCGGTTACTAATGGTATCAAAGCCAATCACAAAGTAGTCAGCGAGGACGTCGGGCCCCCAAGAGGGGTGGATTGAGAGATCCCACATCGGTTGGAGAGGGGAACAAAGCATTTCTTATAAGGGTGTGGAAACCTCTCCCTAACAAAAACGTTCTATAACCGTGAGGCTGATGGCGATACGTAGCAGGTTAAAGCGAACAATATCTGGGTTTGGGTTGTTACTCAATCATAATGAACCCGCTGTAGGGTGTTTGGAACAATGGTGAAATTGGATTAGGCTTCCAAGTCATGTAGCTATTTGAAGTGCATCAATATGGGTGAATGAAGAACTTGGCTCTCAACTGTATTAGAATATATCAAAAGCATCCTGTAGAAAAACCAGAGAATCAGAGTAACTTAAGCATCAATATATGCATTTGTTCAAGAAGTATGATCATCATTCAAATTTGAATGATAGGAAGTCCAAAACCTTCCCTAAATGCAACACTGGTATATACTTTCTAATCTAAGTGGCTTGAACTGTTTTCCGCTCTATTATTATGCAGATAACAGAATCCCGGTGCCATCAAAAACATGTAGATATAATGCTACACAAATTGTAACAATAACAGAAGACTTTGCACTGAAGTAGCTTACGACTTCCAAACCCCTACCCACAACTTCATCATGAACTATACCAAAACTTCTCTTGAGACCATCCATTAGCTTCCACAACAAAAAATCCACAACAGATCTTGTCGTTTCAAATGTCACTCTACCAGTTAAATCAAGCACAAACTTCCTGTTTCTAGGAACTGCCAGAGTAGATGAAACTGTGTCAATCCACCCATTTTGGCTACTCTCAATTGAGCTGCCCGCAGCCATCTTCTTTGAAGAAGCTTCTTCTGAAAAGAGATTGTCTCCTAGCTTTGGCAGTCCATTACAGGATGAAACCGGACTCAAATTCGAAGTCGATCGCGAGCTTGTCAAGACCTGGTGAGATGTTTTTACAAGAGTTTCCACAGCGCCATTACAAACAGAAACAACCATGTCCTTCACCTTGTCCTGATGAGTGGGATTGGTCAATCCACTAAAGAGATCATTGTACACATTAACATCCATTGTTTTATCAAGATATACAGAAACTGCAGTGCTAACAAAAACTTGTATGCAATCTGCTATAACATTCTTGCATTTCTCATCGGAGGCCACAGTTACCCATCTAGGCACGTCTGAAAATTCAGATCCAGATTTGTAAGCATCATCGACTGATCCAGGGATCGAGTAATATCCCATCACCAAATTCTTTGCAAAACTTCCAACCACAACAGAAGCAAAACCAGTCCCGGCTGTTGAGAAAAGCTTCTCGACGACGCCAGAAGAAGAGCTCGAATTCACCGAATCAGCCTCCAAATTTCCGTCGTTCTTTGTTACGGATTTATACCCTCTCATCATCCCAACCGTAAATGCCTCGGTGACCTTCTCCAGAGACTCCGAAAATTCCTCCGATTTAGCGAGTTTGGAAATTTGCTTCAAGCTGTTGGGAATTTGATCGGAGTCAGATTTCAGAAACTCCTTCAAATCTTTAGAAATTACTCCGATTGCTTCAGAAGAATCCGCAACCATTTCAGCGACGGAAATCATGGCACCGAAGAGCTTCATCAGCCTCTTCCTCTTCCTCTCGACGTAGGGAAAATGATAGACCTTATAAACTCCGTAACCAGAGACCCCCATGAGAGCCAATAGAACAAGCCATTTCTTCCTCCTTTCGGAGAATCCCAAGCCCCTTCTAACAAGTTCAAAATCCATACAGAGAAATTTCCAAATAGCAAGATGGAGAGTCTATAGCACCGAAATCAAACCGAAACCCAGATTCGAGATTTTAAGGCACGAAACCGTACAAAAAAAATGGCGCGACAAACAGTGAGAGGGTCGAGAAAATCGTTGAGATTTTCCCTCTCAACAAATGGAAAGGAAAAATCCGATAAATAACACACAATCGAATCGGAAACCTGCTTGGGATTATTGTAGTAAGTCAATGAAGATTGAGTGGTCAAACCTGGAGGATTTTGCAGCAAAATTTCTGGGAAATTTAATTGGCGGCAAATGGAAACAGGAGGCGAGTGCAGGTGATTGGCTTGAAATGATTGATAAAACGGAATGAAGATTTAATAAAGAAAAATAAGATGAGAAAGAATTGAATGGAGGAGTTCATGTTCGGATCGGTTAAACCAATCCTACACGGAAACACCGAAATCGCAGATCAGATAACCAATCAGAATGAATTCAAGTTCCCACAAACGGACCACGCCAGCCTTGTGAATTAAAATTTGAACCCAACTGCATGGCCATTTTGTATGCCATTTTCCCCATAATCTAGACACTCTCGTTCTTAATTTTTCATGATTATAACTCAAGTTGCGCATTTAAACTTATAATAAATAAGACATTAAGTAATAAATATCCATTAAAGTTAAATAATAATTTCTGACAGCAAATTTCTTGGTGAATTTCCTCTCGGTTCTGTTGAATATTCCCTGTCTTCCGTCTCATTTCTTTATCCTGTTTGTCGGCTTTCTAACTCGAAAACAAATCTCATCCAGAGTGATTGTGGTCAGTACGCTTCGGTTCAATTTCTGGTATCAATTTTGAACAAACAAACAAATAAAAGCTCATTGGTCTGATACTCAAAGAACAAAATAATGGGCCAACTTGCATTTCAAAGGCCTATCTGTGAGTATGATAACTAAAGCTATATGCTAAATATCTTATCTTTAAGGAGTAGAAAGGTAAAAAAGTACAGCAATCCAATAGAAAGAATGGTCCATTATGGTGGTTCTGTAGATACCAATGAGATGATGGGTAACTTCCATCCAACAGAATCCTCTTCTCAGCTGCCTCAATTCGGTGGCTCCTTTGGCTGTTTTTAGCGCTTTCTTCTGTCAGACAGCCTCCGATGAATGAATCTCCACTCCTGACAGACCAACAAAGGGATGAGGACAATCATCGTTGGGCATGGAACAAAAAGAATCTATATCTTTTCCCGTTTTGTCTATTTACTGATACATTCTTTACACAGTTCCCAAACAAGAAACCAAACAGAGACATTGTCACTCTTCCAAACTGGAATAATCATTCTCTCATTCATTTACAAATGCACCCACCAACCCCATCAACTAAAAGCAATTTCAGATGGTTTCATAAAGATCGGTAACTGAAGCCCCATCAATCTTGTCAGACTGACTTTGTAATTCATTTAGCCTCATCGGCAAAGCATACACAATTGGAAGCATCGCCTTGAATTCTTTTGTTTAACTTCCTTATTCTTTTGAAACAATCTTGAACTTAGCAGGCAGAACCATATCATCATCCTCGAGATCACTGAAAGAAATATCTTCATCGTACCCCAGAGGGAGGATGGTCCCAGAGTCTTCCTCTAGCCAATCATTATCTGACTCGTCGTCGTAGTTCTGAACAAGGAATTTTGAAGAAGACTCAATTGTCGAGTTTTTATCCTCATCTTTAATTATAGGTTTTTCAACGATGACGGACTTATCAATGAATTGTGTTTCAGAAGTCTCTATTTGGTATTTTTCTGTCTCACAATTGCTCGACATAGACGACATGCTTGGCTCAGATGTAAATGTCCAAGGCAGCGTAGATACAGAATGAGTTTCAAGGCCCATGGAGTTATCATCTTCCTGCAACAAATCAGAGCTGTCTTTTAATTCAAAAGTGTCTCTTCCACACCAGAAAGTCTCTGGCTTGGTCTTCTTTTGTAATTCCTGCATCCACATTGATCTGGCTTCTGCTACCTACAAGTTTGGTGAAACCAAATTATATTAGAACCATAACGTTTCAATCAAAGGAACCAGATTAATACTCATTTAAAGCAGTAAAATAATACATGTTTGAACTCCATATGAATATAATAAAATTTTCTGCAATCATAGCATTTGGGTCATTTTGTGCAAAATTTAACTATACATGGGAACCCTAAATTACAAATAAGCATCATCATGCCAGACCATAACAATGTGGAAATTACGTAACCTACCTAAGAAGGTTGCATTGCAATTTTAAAAAACAAAGAAAAGAAAGAGTAGTCAACCTGTGGAGTAGATAAAGCCTCAGCATCCTGTTTATTGAGTCTTGAATGCAGGAGCACAAAGTAAACTTTCCAAAAGTAACTCTCACTCATATGGCAAGGACAGAGCTCAAATCTGAGAGCAGCCAATCTAGGAGCAAGATGTTCAATAGTGAAAGCATGCTCTTTTTGGGCATCAGACATTTCAAAATCTAAAACAAGAAAAAGAAGGGTCTAAAGACGTAAATACACAGGGCTCAACAATGTGAAAAACATCATAAAAGCAGATAGTTAAACAACGACAAAGTCCAAACTCACCATTCAAAAGTCAACATATTTAGTAATTTAAGTGGATCAACTTATAAAAATTCCTTTCCCGTTCATCTTACATATCCAGGTATAGGAGATGGGGTTATGATGAAATTCAGAAATAGTCATAATACTGAAAATCAAATAACTTGGGTCACACTTAATTGTATAAAACTGAAACATCATATTCACACTCTAAATAATGAACATAATCGATAGAGCCTCTAATGCAATATGTGATATGCTAATTATATTGAAAGGAAACAAGTTCCCAGGTTTTGGAAAGGCCTAAGTCTCTCCTTTCACAGGCAAGCTACCTTGATCCGTCTCTAGTTTCAATACACTATGCTTAATGTCCACCTCCAACGAGCCCTAAAATCTCTTGTCATCAATGATATAATGACTAGCTTTGTAGCTTCAGAAATGTATGCTTCCCGTGGTATTTTAAAAAATAAAAAATAATTTTAAAATTTTTTTTAAAAAAAAACCTTAAGTATTCACAATAAAAATGTCTATCTATAAAGCTTTGCTTGCGTAGACTTAGTTTTCAGCTTGGGTTGGTACCTCATCCGTTCAAATTAGGAGTGTATCTGAATCACATGACAAATCCCCACACACACTTAAAGCTATCTTGACTTCACTCTTTATTGTGATAGGCCAAAAGACCTTCACATTGAGATGTATGGGGATTCGTTGCTCATAGATCCCGCCCAATATCCTCCCTCCCCGACGCCTTCTGACCCGGAAAAGTATACAATGACCATTTCTAGACATTGTGGTCCCACATCACATAAAGGATCCATGCACACTACACGCTATAGGAGGGAGATTATCTAACACTTCACAAATTCACATGTTGCATAACAAAACTATTACTTAATACTCATGATGCTTTCACCTAGTGTGGGTGAACTGAATTGGGGGCTTATCCTTCCTATCACAACATAAGTGCAATGGCACCTTGAATGAATGAGTTCAATTCGCGTACAAAAGATGTAAAGTACGCGAATGGAATCACTGAATGTATGTGTTGTATAGCACTGAGGGAACCACAATATTTCAACTTCTGCCCATAGCCAAAGGTAATCGTTAATGGAAAAGGTAATAGACATCGAGAACCAGAAAAGGAAGAAAAATTGGGAACTGGAATGGCAAGGCAGGAAGTTATGAGGAAAGATACACAAGTGGAGGTCAACAAGTGAGGTGACAGAACCCATGTAGATATAAAAACTGAGGCATGATCCAAGAGTACTATCCTGAAATCCAAAAGGGTTTACTGAGTTATCAAAAAAATTTAATACCCATCTCTTACTCTATGGACCACAGGTGTGCCAACTAAAGATACTTAAGTTCATTTTGGAAAATAGTTGCTGAATGAGATACAGCAACAAAAATTCTGAGCTAACTGCTGACATCTAATTGTAGCACTCAACACATCCCAAGATAAATTTCTAACATGCCCGGTGAAGAAGATCCAAAAGGATGGAACACTCGGATAGTCGAATGCCTTATTTCATAGAAGTCTCCATTTATGGAATCGAGTTTCTAAAAGCATCTCATAAACGATTCCAGCATCAATCGAACAATTCATTAAAAGAACCAATGACGCTAAAGATCATTAGCAGTGGCCTTCAGAACATTCAGTAACCTTCATCCTATATCCGATAAAAAAATGAATAAGATTAAGATTAAGACCAGATAGCAGGTTTCCTCGTCGAAGAGAAATCAATTAACAAGCATCTAAGGAATTGGATAGCAAAATTAGCAAAACACACATACCACCGTTGTCCTCCTCCTCGTCAATTGGGAAATCAATCCAAGTTTCAGGGTGCATTGCAATGTTCGTAGCAAACGTCAGCACTTCATCAGTGATCCCAACAGCGCCTTCCCAATCCACCTCATAGCATTCCTCCTGTAAAATCCCCGATTTCGCATAGGCGTCATGATTGGAACGCATATTCAAAACCTCAATCGGATCAGTCAGGTCCTCTTCGTCCCCGGAGATCGATGGATCAGACTGATTAGACGCCTCGAACGACTTCCAATCGGGAGGGGCAACCAGATCCTCCGCCAGGTTGAGATGATGAGTCGGCCCCGGTTCCGGCGGAGGCGGAGGAGGAGCAAGGAAAGTGGCCACGCCCCAAAATTGGCGGGTTAGGGTTTGTTTGAATTCAGTCAAGTCCTCTTTGACGCGGCGAGATAATGCTTCGTCGTCGAGTTGGGGTTGGGATTGGGATTCCATCTGGTTGCGGGGAATGGTGGAAGAAGAAGAAGAAGAAGATACGACGTCGTTGTGCTGCTCATCTTCTTCGTCGTCAAGGCGAAGGGTGTTAGCAATGGAGAGAGCCAACCATGACATTGCACCTGATTCGTACGGTGAAGAAAGCGACTGGTTCACACTTCCCACCCTCTTAATATGGCGCTGTTCGATCGGTCGCCCTTTCGCTTGCGCGTTTTTTTTTTCGTAAAACACACTTTTCTCCAATTATTATTATTAATACAATAACATGGGCTTGGGTTATGATTGGGCCATGAATACATTATAATGGGCCATCTTATCTAAACAAGCCCAAGGCCCACGTTGTCGTTTCCTATTCCGGCCCAACCCATTCACATTGTAAGTGACAGCTGGCAAAATTAAAAAACATAAAAAACAAAATTTAAGGAAGAAAATAAGAGGAAAATTTCAGGAGTTGGGTATAATGTGCGATGCGCCCACATACCCATTTCAACAGCGACATGTCTTTATTTTCTCATTTAATGTGTCGTTTTTTCAAATTTTCTTTTTCTTTTTTTTTCTTTTTCCTTTTAGGAAATGGGAGAAAGGAGTTGACCGAGTGCACCCATTTGCATGAACAAAGGGAGAGGAGAAGGACCCCCACGATGGAAAGAGTAGAGAAAAGATCAATTATTAGCCCAACCCCACATTTTTAATACTAAGCCATGCTAAGAAAACGACCCTTGTCTCACCCCTTCTATTTTCCCTCGCCTCACTGTCACTACTTCCTTTTATTGTCCTACTT